TAGAAAGCTCACAGACCGACAACGTAAAAAGTGGATTTTAAACTGTCTGCGGTCGGGAGGAGCAGGATGTGTCTGCAGGCATCACTTAATTCAGAGGTATGCTAGTTGCTAACTTGTTTTAGAGGTTATGTCTATAATAATTGTTCATTTAGTAGTGAGTATTAAGTTACTGGTAGTTTAATGTGGACCTCATCTGGACTTTAGGCTGCCCTAGTTCTGTGTCGTTAGGTGCTGGATGTGTGTTGACGTTAGCGGCTACTGTTAGCATGATCGTAACATATAAAACAATATCAGAAAAAACACTCACCCTGGCAAAAAACAAACGATAATCGTCGTGGAGCTGTTTGGTACCGAGGTTGTGGATCCACCTGCTGAATAAAAAGTTCGACACCTCCCGTTGTTTACGTGCTTTCATCAGCTGTTCATGTAGTTAGCATCCAGTTAGCGCCGCGCCGTCTGGCCCGGCAGACCGGTAACAGGACCGTAGAGTCCGCTCGGTGCTCGATCTTCTTCTCTTCCATCTTGTAACCGAAATAGTGAATCACCTACTTCCTCATCAAAGTCCTCACTCTGTCTCCAACTGTTTTTCCTCCATTTCTGCCTTTGAGCTCCTCTCAAGCTGCGGCTCGGTCCGACTCAATCCACCAGTCCGCAGTTCATCGCCTTTTTTTGCATCAAAGACACTAAAATAACTAACTAAACTTCACCGTAACTATGAAATATAGTTATACAAATATAATAAATGTAATTTTGGATATCTCATTGCTGACTTTGGATCTCGTTGTCTCTCCATCGCTGCCGAACTTTATTCAACTTCCGCCTTTTTTTATTTTTATTCTCCTGTAGATTTTTTGCCGCTTGTCTAATATTTTCAGGCTTCAGTCAGAAAGGAGTTTGGGGGGTTTAGGTTTGTTCGGCGGGGTGGGGGTGACACCAGAGGGTGGTGGAATGAGGCGTTTTTCCCCCATGAATCAGCCCTATTTTACATCCTCCTGCTGCAACGTGCTTCAAATATGACGAACATTAATAAAAAGAACCATAATTTTATTTAATATATAATTTAATCAGTGTATAATTATTTATTATTAATTCAGTTAGAATGAGTGGAGCACTCGTAAACTACACAAGATATGGGCATTTTTTCAGATAGCAGATCCTCCACTTTTTCACTTCCTGACCTCCATCCGAACTTCGCGCTCTAGTGGCGCTGCATCGTGACGTCACGTGAAACCCTCCTATTGGTTTGGTTTTTACCAGAACTCAGTGTTGTATAAAATACCACAAAGTGATACGAGAGTAAAAGTACAAGTATCTTACCAAAAAAGTTACTTTGGTAAAAGTTAAAGTCACCTTTAGGAATTTTACTTGAGTAAAAGCCTTAAAGTATCTGATATTTTTTGTACTTAAGTATTAAAAGTAAAAGTACTGATTTAAAATGAGCAGTTAGACTTTCGGTAATAATTAAAATAATTAGTTTATGTTAAATGTAGGATGCACTAGTCTGTTTCAGTTTATAAATAAGAAAAGATAGATCTTTATTGTAGTTGTACAGAGCACAAAATGAAAATCTATCTGAGGGCTGCGGCCAAATGCAATAATATAATTCATGAAATACAAATACTTCTTAAGTACAGTCATTTTGTTTTAAAGTTTATGTCCTGCTGGAGTGTGACATGATTTGTTTGTGTACAAACTAATAAAGTATCAGAGTTTTATATATTTATACTTCTCATTTAACCACATTTAAATTCACTGTGTATAGGAGGCACAGTTTATAATGAATAGTATTTAATTTTTTACAACAAGGTGAAGTGAAAACAAGCAAAACTGAAATAAACGTAACGATTTTCTACTTCTTGTCTTTTTTAAAAATATAAGAAGTAGAAGTAAAAAGTACACTGAAAAATACTCAGATACACAAAAATTCTACTTAAGTACAGTAACAAAGTATTTGTACTTAGTTACTTTACAACTCTGCCAGAACTACGCTAGTACAAATACAGAGAAGTTAGTACTTAACCCTAACAAAAATAGTTTTTTGAAAGTAATTAAAACATATTGCCTTTGTTTAGCTTAAAATAATTATCACCAAACGATGGACACCTTTTAACTTATTTGCACTCTTGCTTTGGAAGTAGACAAAATGACATCACTAAGCATAAATTTTTTTTGAAGTACTGCAAGGTATCTTTTAATGAGTACAAATATTTGAAATTGGCACCACTGGTTTTTAATGCCACTTTTCGAAATTGATCATTTGGTGTACTTACCATAATAAAGATGGCTGCCACAGCTACGCAAACACACAAAAAATGTTTGTAACTCTGTTCCTTTTACAGATGTGCTAAAATTTGCTGTGGTAGTAGCTGAGAGTCATCCCCATAACGTAGTTTGAGAGCTAATCGATTGTTAGCGTTAACACTTTGCCACTGACGATTTGACTCAACTGTTCTTGTCTGTTAGCAAAATATCCTATGAACCATTGGATGGCTTTAGTCAGTACGGATAAGGGAAGGTAATCAGACTTAATTATCAGTCTGCTGTCTTAACATCAGCTATGTTTACCTTAAATATTACCAAACTAGTCATTTTTTAAATGATTTGCCCTCTTAATTTCAAAATGAAAGCGGAAATGACATCGTCTAGCATAAAAGGGGTATCGTTTCAAAGTATCTGGGAGTTTTTTACAAGTACAAATATTTGAGGCTGGCACCACTAGTTTTTAATGGCATCTTCCAAAAGGGATTATTTGATGTACTTACCCCAATTAAAGATGGCCGCCACAGCTAATTGATGTTATTTTAGAGACAGYGTCTCTGCATGTGAACCCTCTTAAGTTTACCTTTGTGTGTCTGTGGCAGAAAATAAACAAGTTCATTACGTCACTAATCTTCAGGCACGCTCTCAACTTTCTTCTTTTGTTTCTTTTGACATTTACTTAAAATCCATACTTGTGAAGATTTCCTGCAGATTATTATCCGTAAGCTTCTCAAATATGCTCTACATGTTTACAAATAATGAAACAAGCTTCAGAGCAACAGCGATAAGTTGATTTGTGCTGAAAAGTTTGGCGTTCGGCTGGTTAAATGTCTGCCCTTTGACTAAAGATGCAGGATTTAATCAAGTGAAAGAGTGACTAAATCTGGCAATCAGATTATTTGGGATTAGATCGATTCTAAAGGGGAACAGAGCCGTGGTTCAAATGTGTTACTAAGTCAAAAGACGGGAATCGTTTTGAGAAACAAAGCTGCAGTTTCCCTTTTGCAGCTGCATTATTCATTCACAAGGTTCCCGTCTCTGACTCTGCATTCTGTGTTTCCTGCTGCGGCTTTTTGTCTCTGCAGAGACAAAGACAGAGAGTGTTGGGATTWCCTGGATCATCCGTTTGTGTTCGACACAATTACACCAAAGCTTCGGTTTCATACGTTCAGAAACTTTTCAAGAAGGTTCGATAGCTGGAAACAAAAAACTGCCTGAAACTGTTTTTATTGTCATGCTACTGTTTTATGCACCAGAGCTTAAAAGACAGATCAAATCATGGATATAACCACAGAAACTGGATTTTCTATAAAACTCGGCTGCAGCTGAGGAATGAGTGCTGAAATTTTCTGAAGCTGAAACTAATTTAAGACGAAAACAAGCAAAGTAAAAGGCAAACAATTGTTAAAAATAGCAAAAGATTTGCTGAACAGATCCTAAAATTGTCAAAAGGGATACTCTTAAAGGTAAAATGAGCAAAATAAAAGCTAAAATGAGCAAAAAGAAACTTAACTGAGCAGCAGAACAGTACATAGAAGCCAAATTTTCGTGGGTAAAAATAACAAAGCGTATTTAAAATAGGTGAAACTGTAGCTGAAGTGAGCAAAACAGGCTAAAAGAATCATCAAACTAATTGTTAAAGTTGATTTAACTGTAGTCAAGATTAGCTAACCAGATGATAAAATTAAAATTTTGCAAAAATGCATTTAATCATTCCAGCTCCACGTATCTCAGTACCTCCAGCACTGACACTTCACCGGCTTATTGCGGTAAAAGTTTGTGTTTTTTATCAAGAATGCGGAGCAGAAGCTGATGACGAAGGGCTGCAGATAAAGCAGAGCAGAAAATAAATAATTTTGTAGGATTTTTATTCAGATTGAACAGAAAAACGTCACAAGTTAAACTGTCTTCACCTTGTTTGAGAACAAGAAGCAGCTGAAACCAAACAATTGAAATGCCTCTAAAATTATATTTTGAATAAATTTCTTATCTTAAGACTCCTGATTTTATCCAGTTTTTTTCCATGTTGTATCCCTGCAGGACTACTTCTACCCCAAATACATGGGTGAGTGTTCATTCCTCCTTAAAGCCTGCTCGTCTTCAGCCAGCCCGGCTGATTTCATGTTGATTTCTGTCTCTGCTCAGCCTGCGTGGAGAAGTTTGGGGATTCAGAAAAGAAAAAGCAGGACTGGATCACGTGTGTTCACAGTAAGTTTTACCTCCAGTTTCGTCACTCTTTCCCCTCTCCGTTCAGAGTGAGGCTTTGGGTTGTGCTGCACTGCAGCATCACTCCTCTGCGTCGCTCCCGGGCGAGCTCTCCTCGTAGAAAAAGATGTGACCAGATCTATTCGTCAAATCTAGGTCACGCTTTGCAGCGCGACACTCTGAATCGATTTTGTGACTTCTTAGTCTTTGGGAGGTGTTTTTGAATAACGCTGCAGTGATGCTGCGTGCAGCCAGATGAGKGACACGCCCCCCTCCAGCTGTCACGCACTCGTTCTCGTTGCGTGACTGACTCAGCTCCTTCGTGAGCGAGTGACGTAAAAAAAAAAATCCTGTCCTGAGTAGAGGGCAGGTTTTTTGCTGCATCAGGATACAGGAGACTCAGCTTCACTCCTATTGGCTGCAGAGTCTCCGGAGTGGGTTTCATGACTCAGCTGCAGCATCGTGGGCTCTTAGTGCTGTGTCTTAAAGTCACAGCGTTCCTTCAGATCTGTCAGCGTGACTCATCCTGTTCATCACTTCTTTTTTTTTTTTTACCATCCTGTTTATTTGATCTGCTTCTGATCACTGCATTGCAGGAAAAATGGTGAAAACTAGATTAAACAGAATCAGTTCTTCCAAATTATGAGCGTCGTGTTGCACAACTAAAAGTCTCTTAGTAGCACCTGTTAGCAAAATATCTCATGAACCACTGAACAGATTTTAATAAATCTCTGATTCTCAGTCAGATTTATTTTGGAGTCAAACTGTGTCGCCACTGCTTATCAACAACAATTCAGTCAGGTTTACACACACCAAGCTAAAGTTTAGCATGTTAGTAGCTGAGAGTCTTTTACAAAACAAACAGCCAAAACAGCTACACCTTTTTATTTCTCCACGTGAAAGGATTTTCTCTTTTAAAACTCTGGCCTGAAAAGCAGCGAGGGACATGCATTCCTTCACGGGTCAATAAAACTGAAAGAGATTTTTAAACAGTTGAAGAGGTGCTGAGCCTTTATTTTATTTTATTTTATTTTTATTTTATATAAAGCACAAACATACTTTTACATCAACTCAGTAACCCATATATTTGCAAACAGATCATCCACAGGTGTTGCCAGATGTCAGTGGTTCACACCGTTGCACAAATCTGCTAAATTACAACCTAAACCACTAACTGTGGAGCTAGCTTCTCATTTAGCAGATTAGCATTTTTGCTAACTTTGGAAACCGTTAATGGACTGCCTAGGTTCATCTAATAAAAGCCGACTAAAATAATTCAGAAGTGTAAAACTTCTGTTTTTATGCCTTTATCCTGAATTAAATAACTATTTACTCTTACAATCAGTTCTGGACGTGTCAGGCACCGTGTGTGTTAGCATGTAGCATCTTTAGCAGCTAAACTTTAAACTAAGAGTGTCAAAAAGAATAAAATAACATTTAATGATTAAATAAGAAATTTTACATTTTATGACTAAAACATGGTAGAGAAAGTATTTGCCGTTTGTTTGACTAACTTCAAATGGTGTTTATAAAAATACAAACGCAATTAAAGGAATGCTTTTATTCTGAAAGGGGAAATGGAAGTATCCCAAGCTAGACCGAGCACTAATGTTTTGATTAGCTGTGCCCATACTGACAAATATAAAATAATTATCATATTTACACAACAGTTTTAAAGTCTCTATGAGAAATAGTTTTTAAAAAGCTCAAAATGCAATAATTTTCGTTATCATGCGCCAACAACATTGATTTAACTCACCCGAACATCCACGTATCAGAAAGTCACTTCATCATTTCTTATCWGGCAGCCCTGTCCACAAGTCGTACTGAATTTATTTCTAGTGCGCTGTAACGACCTGAACTTTATAAACTTGTAAAAACATTACATGCTGTTACAACTTTAATGGTTTTASTGCTGAAAATTGTAAGATTGTTTATCATTTTTTCCCTCTGACTCATGATTGCTGAATGTTTCAGCTCAGTCCTTTTAGCTGGAAGTGACACTCTGATTTATTCCTCCTGTRAAAAGCGATTACAGCATATTTTTTCCAAACAGCTCAGGCTGGTTTCTGTCCGGCACATAAAACAGAACGAGCTGGAGTTAATGCTCAACCTGCACTTTCTGTCCAGGCAGCTGATTAAGCTGCTCGATTGTGGTTTTCCACACGTGAACTTGTCTTGTCTTTTCTCTTTAAGTCCCTTTTTTTTTCCTATCATTTACTGAAATTCAGCAGACATGCCCGGACATGTCAAGCTTTCAAAACCCACTCTGCAAGAAGAGAGAGAAAAGATTTTACTCTCTTACACAAGCTCCAGTTTAAAGAGAGGCTTTAGTTGGAAATGTTCATCAGATTAAAAAAGAAACAAAGAAAAAAGACAGCCTGGCCAGCATTTAGCTATTTATACTGAGAGATGCCCGTCCTCTGTCCGCTCCRGTATATGGTTACACTCTGTTCTGACTCTGTTTTTAAACCAGGACCAAAGTGAAGTATGTCCTTTCATGAGAGTTTTAACAAGGTTGAGGATGACTCTCAGCTACTACCACACCAAATTTCAGCTCCATTTATTTGAAATTAGCCAAGTTGTAGCCATTTTTTGTGGCGGCCATCTTGACTCCAAAGGTTAATTACTCTTTGCTGATAATATGTTTTTTTTCTTCCGTTTAAAGATATTCCAGACCAGTGCTCTCCTTCTCCTTGTAATCCTGGAGGTACGGTGCGCTGCGAGGACAAAAAGGGAGATTTCCTCTGTCACTGCTTCACAGGCTGGACCGGAGCCACGTGTGAGACAGGTACCATCATCATCATCATCCACAGGAAAGAGCAGAGTCACGCTCGGCGTTTGTGCCGACTCGCCAAAGTCGTGACCGCTGACCCCTCATCTGTTTCTGGTCACTGATGTAACCTGATCTTTTTAGTTTCACTTGTCTTTGTTTTTAAACTTTAGTTTTTTTAAGGTCGTTACTTTTTATTTTAGGCAGGAAACAGATTTTTCTCACATGAAAAGTGAAAAGTTATGATTTTTTTAACAGTATTTTGCCACCTTTCTGTGAGAGGAACCTTCATCTCAGGTTCCGCCTCTTCTGTGTTTTTTTTATTTTTTATTTTTTTCCGGGGTTCACGTTGACAGCTGTAACATTTGTCTCCAGATGTGGACGAGTGCGTCGAGAAGAGTAACGGAGGCTGCGACCACGCCTGCAACAACACCGTAGGAAGTTACCGCTGCTTCTGTCACGACGGCTACGTGCTGGTCGGACGCCACGCGTGTGCCGGTGAGAAACAAAACCTTTGAAATCCAACAACTGGGCTCTTATCAGAACTGGAGCTTCATTTAAGACCTTAAATATTTACATAACTTTAAACATTTAAATATTTGTGCACATTCTGATTTAATTATATAAATGTAATTATAGTATTAATTATAATAATAAATTTACATTTATGTGAATATTTGACCGACTGAATGTGACTTAAATCAGTTTTTTTTGTTGCTAATCTGAAACAGTTGCATTTTTAAAAAATGTTTTGTTAAACTGTAAAGTTTACAGACGACGACTTGTTTTTTGCACGCTGAGTGGCATTATGATATCTTAGCTTCACTGCTCAGTGAGTGCTATTTTTAGCACTTGCTCTCAGTAAACGAACATTAGCCCGGCAGAGAGGCACGTAAAGCCCTCCAGCCTAATAATATATAGAGGAAACCCTGTTATTTAATGATTTTTTAATAAAATGTTTTAAAAAAACATTAATTTTAGTACTGAGTATTAAAATGTAGCAAAGGGTTAGTTAAAAGCAAAAAGTAACAAGATATTAACTAAGAGTAAATTTAGTAAAAACACCAGCTAAAAGCTAACTAAACATAGCAGTAAGCTATCTAAAAGCTAAACGTAGAAAAAGGCCATCTGAAAGTTAAAAGTAGCAAAATGTTAGTCCTTAAGCTATTGTTTTCATGCTTTTAGCTAAGCGTAAGAAAAGGCTAGCTAAAAGTAGACAACGACTAGCTAAAAGCTAAAAATAGCGAATAACTGTCTCAAAGCCAAATGTAACAAAACAATAGCTAAATGGCTAAGTGTAGCAAAGGACTAGCTAAAAGTAGCAAMTGGCAAACTTTASGTTGTGAAAAGTTAAAAAATGACAAAGTGAAAAAGTTTACTGATGAATATAAACAGGAAGAGACTGATGTGATGCTGAATCCTGAACCTAAACATGTTTTTTGTTGTTTTTGGTTTGTTTTCATCACATTCTCAGAAGTTGAGCAAAGAAACTTCTGTACTTTAAGCAAAAAACGAAATGCATTTAATTAATCCGTCAAAAATGATTATTATTATTTAAAAATATTATTTTTGCTCTGTAGACATCGACGAGTGTGAAGATCCGACTGTTTGTGGTTCGGCCAGATGTGAGAATAATGTGGGCGCTTATGACTGTTTGTGTGAAGAAGGCTACGTCTTTGACAACGAGAGCAGAAGTTGTGTTGGTAAGTGTGTACACACACACACACACACACACACACACACACACACACACACACACACACAC